CCCCCCCCGTTGCATCAGGTACTAAATCACTTTGCTGATTTTTTTCTTTTTAGAACAACATGACATTGACTTCACGCATGAGACATCTGCAAAAACGGGCGCTAATGTTGAAGCCGTGTTCAGAATCCTCATAAATGGTCGGTCCCCTCCTCTCTCTCTCTCTCTCTTTGCCTCTTCTGAAATTTCATGATTATTTTTCACATTTGTAAAAAATCAGTAGTGCGTGATAATATATATTGCTAGAATAAGCAAGAATTAATAATGTGAAGACTTTATCGTTAATGTTTCAGAAATGTGCCAGAGAAATGAGGGCAAGGCAGATGATTCAGATATCATACATCTCCAGTCTGACAAGCACCAGCGAGAACCATCAGTAAACTGTAAATGTTAAAAGGATATATAATGTAGAGAAAAAAACCGCTTGGTTATGGAGAGCTCAGGAAAAAAGTTATTGGTATCTTAATACACCGGGTCATAACTTTCGAGTATGTGTTCCTTGAGTGTCCCCTTTTAATTATCTCGTCAGTAAGCAATACTGTCATCTCCTTGCTGTGTTCTTGTCTTTATCATCATTGGCGGCGTACAATATTAAAGAAAAATGCATTATTGTGTTCAAGCGGTCGTTACAAGTGTGTTCCAAAAATCCCTTGAACGTCCGTTTTTGGTCCGCCCTCCTTGCGGAGATGTGTGAGGACGAAGCTGGACAGTAAATGTGCATCACCTTCTCCATATCTTGCTTTTCTCTCGGATATGTTTTTAAACTCCACGTGAAGTATTACACTGAATTAAAGAGTATATTTTCATGGGAACACTTGACACGAAAAGAGATTAAAATTTAATAAGTATGACGTCATGAGTAGACATGATAATGCGATAAGTAACGGTGTAGATCCGCTAAATGCAAAAATTGTGCAAACAGATATTGAGATCGTGGAAGAGAAAGAGATACAGAAACAGAGATAAAGATTGTAGACTTACCTAGCTAATTGAAATGATTATTGGATATTTGATAAGCAAATGGATCTTAAATTACATGCGGCCTATTTCTCGCTATCCAAAGTTTACCACTATACATCAAGGCCTTCTTATATCCGTGATAAACTGTAGATGCATGTTCTATAGCATTTTTTACAGTAAAGACAGTACAGTATTTTTTTTTTTTTTTTTTTTTTTTTTTTTTTTTTTTTTTTTTTTTTTCCTTAAATTTTGGGGGCCCCCTTTTTTTTTTTTTTTATATAATTTTTTTTTTTTTTTTTT